ATCAAAAGAAGACGTGGAGCTCATATGAATTTCCTTATATTCAGAATTTAATTGTGTCGAATGTACTTCACATTAAATAAGAAAATATTGAAATTTCGTTAACAATTAGTATATTTTTTTTTAAAGAAATTTGAAAATCCTGCATATGAGAGCTAAAGAACTTTATCCAATCTAAACGCAGCGAACGAACGGTTTTCCTTGATAAAGGAATTATGATGAACGTGGAAGAAAAAAGCGAAATGATGCGCAAAGCGGGCATGCGTGTGCTTGAATGAAAGCGAAGTGGTTGCGGATTGTGTTGTCCGTCCCTTTTGTTAAAGTTGTTGTGCTCTGGTTTATAGTACGGTGTCCTCATGCGTGGTGTCATATTTGAGTGTGTTGGTGTGATGTGTAGTGCTGTGTCGGTGTTGTGCGTTTACAATGATTTTGTCTGCCAATGTATGGTGCTGAAATATGGTGTAGTTGTGTTTCATGCTGAGGAAGGCTGAGGGTTTTTAAACATCCCGGGCCCCTTAGGCAAGTAATTAGCCTAGTAGCGTTTGTAATTGTTGCAATATGGCCACCATGTTACTGTGCCCAGTGGAGTATTATGTTGTTGGCGCCGAGTACGAGTACATGGATCTAATGGTGCCTCAGCGTTTCCTGATCATGAGCACGGTTCGCCTGCGGTCGTCTGGTTGTAGTATTTGACACTATTTAGAAACCCCCAACTTGGCTAGTGCCAAGCACGGCTTAATGAAATCCATGCACGCTGATTTACTGAACGAACCATTGGTATACTGAAAGACTGGTAGAAATTCTCAGTAAACGATCGCAAAGTGCAGCGTTGATTAACATCTGCATACAAATTTAATTCGACATATTGCAGATAAAGCGGCAATATGGGCCTGCAAAGGTCAAGCCTTCACATCACGTTAAAACAAATCTCATCTCGGCTTTACATGGGCGAATATAGAAGGAATATATTTTGTAAGCTGCTATGCTCGTCCTAGTGCAACAATTAGCGAATTTGAAGATTTTCTCCTGGRGATATCTCTAGAAATCAGAAGCAAATCGCCAATAATAATAGCGGGAGATTTTAACGCATGGTCTACTGCTTGGGGTAGCAGAATTACTAATCATCGTGGTCGCCTCATTCTAGAATTTCTGAKTCAAACAAACCTTACGATTTTAAACAGTGGCACACAAAATACCTTTCAAAAGGGCAACAAAGGTTCAATAATAGACTTAATGTTTGCTAACGACGTGCTTAGCAGGCATACTAAGTGGAAGGTGTCAGATATGTTCACAAATAGTGACCATATGGCTATAATTGCTGAAGTTTCGTTCTCCCAAGAAGCGGAACACTGTCCGAGAAATACCTCTCGAAAACGAAGTTGTCAGCAAAAGGAATTTGATACTGACGTTTCTGAGAGCGTCTGGAGTGTGGCAAAGGTATCAGGCGAA